TACTAATTGGAAGCTTCATATTTAAGAGAGAGAGTGGTGGTGAGACAGAGCAAATACAAAGGCCTTTTGGCAAGCTAACTCTCGCCTGTTTTCTCAGAATTCTACTCGACATGACTCTAGTTCCTTTCCATGAGACTACCTTAGGGTCTAAACAGCTAAGATTCTAAGATGAACTAGGTAGTAAAACATTGCAGATAAAACTGTGGCTTCATAATACCCAGGTATAAAGAGCTTCAACACTTACTAGTCTTGTGACAATGGATTAACCAATCACTTAACTCCTTTGTTTCCAGTTCCTCACTGGATAATAGCTCTACCTTACATTGATACATGTAAACCTATAAATCAGATCCCATTAATAATCATTGCTTTTGGGTCCCTATAACCGTAATTAGCCAATGAGAAGTTCATGTAAAGCCAGGCATGGTGGCGCATGTCTGTGAACTCCAGCACTCAGAAGCTGAGGCAGGAGGATGAATTCAAAGCTCACCTGGGCTACACAGCAATGACAAGGTCAAGCCATGTTGTATAGTAAGAAACTGTCTCAAAATACAAACAAAAGACAGTCGTGTAATATATCAACCCAACAAAACGATGGTCAAAACTTAGGATTTTAAGATGCCCAAACCACTGCTAGCCACAAACAGAGAGCAAACCCTGTGGGCTTACCTTCTTCTTACGGTTCCCACTTTCCCTCTGGACCGCTTTCATCAGATGCACCAGCCGATCTACGAAAGTCTGCTGTGCAGCCAGCAGGGAGCGCATGACTCTGACTGACTTGTCACCCTGGGGGAGAACAGACAGGAACATCAGCTCTTCATTCACAGCACACGGACCTCTTCTACTCTTCTAAAGCTATAAGCTTCAAAACAAAGTGCGGCTGAGAAAGGTGAGTGATACTGACTGAGGGGATGAGGGGCCTGCTGTCTTAAGGAAGCAGCACAACCTGCTCATAGTTGAAAATTACCTGGGTCTCAGCAAACACTTGTCTATCCAAACATAAATAACCACGGGGCAAGACAGAATTCATTTGCCCTAAAATGCTTCATTCACCGAGTCAATAAAGATGCCTAGTTCAAAGCTTTAAAAAACCTATCCAAAAAAAGGGGAATCCCAAATGCACCATTAACAAACACACTGCTAAGCAAAGTGTTCTAAGAAACAGAAACCACTACAAAGTGATTAACAAAACATTACATGATACATTTTCTCAACTTTTCTTCCCAATTACCCCAGAGGGCAGATGAGGAAATACTATCATCTCATCTAAAACACAAGAGGACTTCAGCCCAGGCAGCATGCCGGGTGTGGTGGGTGACAAAGGCTGTGACGTGAACTTAGCAGAGGACCTAAGTCTCATCTGTGAGTCCTGCACTGCATTCTGAGAACACGCAAGCTTCGCCTCAGCGTTCAGTATGATGTAGCTTAACTTCATAAGAACTTGAAACAGGAAACAGTAGACGAAGTAAAAAGATCTATGATTACTGAGTGCATCTTTCTTTTCCCCTTCCCTGCTGCTGGCCTCCACACTGCTTACAATAAGAAAAAAGCAGAAAATGGCCTTGTAAACTGTTGAAGCAAACGCTTAAATCACATAAAAGACCTGCGGAAGAACCACTGCAGATTTCTGGGCCTGGACCGAGTCTAGCTGGGGGTGTGGGTGGGGGTGTAGTTACTCATTGTTTAGTCCATGTATAGATTTTTAAAAAAATATTTTATTGATTATTTTTATGTGTATGTGTGTGAGTATACTGCCTGCATGTGTATGTGTACCCATGTCGTGCAATGCCCGTGGAGGTCAGAAGAAGGTACTGGATCCCTGGAACTAGAGTTACAGACAGTTGTTAGCTGTCATGTGGGTACTGGGAATTGACACCGGGTCCTCTGCAAGAGCAGTCAAGCGCTCTTAACCACTGAGCGATGTCTCCAGCCCCCATGTACAGACTTTATAAAAAGCAACAACCTGCTGCAAAGGGTCAGTTTTCATTCCAGCTATTCACTGCTAAAAGAGCAAGTTCCAGTAATTTATTTCTGAACACTCTGAATTTCAAATAATTTTTATGTACCACAAGTACTGATCTTTTTATGCTTTGTTTCATTTTTTGAGACAGGGTCTCTCTCTCCCTGTGACCCCAGCTGGCCTAACTTGCTACTATGGAGACCGGCCCGTCTCTGCCTTCTGAGTGCTGGGATTGAATGCATGCCATGTCCAGTGATCTGCTTTTTACTTTTTCTCAGCTCATAGACTTATATAAGGAAAGGCACTGGCCGGCCCAGCTACATCTCCTAAGTGCTGACCTTCAGCAGTGCTTGGCTGAACCGCCTCATGACATTCAGGTACATCTCATGTGTCTTCGGATCTCTCTGCTGCGTGTCCTGATCTTCACACTCCACTATCACGTACCTTTAAAACAGGTTTAGGGTGCTCTCATGAGAAAGGAACTTCAGACCATCTTGTGAACTATTAATATCTTTTCATTAAAACAGACTACTGTACATTTACAACAGTGAAACAGGAGTCATGGAACATGTCATCCCCATTCCATTAAAAGCGAGACTAAGCAGCAAAACTGGCAATCACCAACCAGTGATCAACAAGGTAATGCCAATTTGTCCTCAGGTTCCCTAAGTGATGCACATAAACACACATTTTATGACGTTCTTAGAGAATGAATGCCCTCTATCATCACTGAGGCTCACATATCCACCAAATAACCAAGCAACAGAAACTATGATTTCCCCACAAACTCTGGTAACAGAGAAGGCATGAAATTCACTGCAGCCACCTTTCTCATCAGCAGGTTGATGACTAAAACTTTTAAATTGAGTTTCTCCTCTATAATCCAATTTCCTTATTTCTCAAAATCAAACATAAAATCTTCAACTTTTCTCCTATGAAAGCTGTTTTAGCGTTAACAAAATTGTTCTTTTTTAAACCTAAATTCTTTTTAAAAAATTTTATTTATTATTTTTATTTTATGTGTATGCAGGTATTGCCTGCATGTAGGTAAGTGCACCCTATGTCGTGCAGTGCCTGCGGAGAAAAGAAGAGGCTGTCGGATTCCCTGGAACTGGAGTTATGGAAAGTTGTTAGCTGCCATGTGGGTCTTCTTCAAGAAAAGCCAGTGTTCTAACCACTGAGCCATCTCTTCAGCAGCCCCAAACCTAAATTCTTTGTACAATTATAAAAGTTGTGTGTGTGTGTGAAATTTATGCTGTAAAGAAAAAAAATCATCTAAAATAAAAGTTTGTATCATTGCCACAGATGAAGAAAAGTTTAGACCAAGACTAAAAGACCTACAGTTGAATCACTTTGGGATTCTCTGTTCACACCTATAAACTATAGACTCTACGAAGCCCTGCACAGTATTTCCTGGAGAGCCGCCATCTCAAGGGAGACTGGTGACATGCTGTCCAGGCACTCACCATGAGGTAACGGCAGTACGGTCCCAGCCTGACAATTTCATTTTGTGGAGCAAATAACTTTCATTACCTTGAAAGGTCTTAAGAGTTATAGAAAACATGCCACAACATGCGAAGTTTACTTTCAAGTTCAACACACTGCAATGACTATAAAAATCCAAACCTGCAAGGACTTATAGATTCTAATGCCAATATCTTTATAGACTGGAAACACAGCACCCATCGGTGGACTTAAAGGTTGACACTCTTCATTTTGAAAGGAGTGCATAGCTCCCGACTCCCAAGGTCTTAGCTACAGGAGGAACTCCTGCTTAAATCACTGGAAAGGGAACCATAACAAGAGAATCCCAAAGTGTTCAGAAGAAAACATTAGAGTCAGTTAAATTTTAATTTACATGCACTACCTACAAAAGAGTGAGCTCAGGGAGAGGCGGTAACATTCTCACACCTGACTCAGGCTCAGACAATGATCATTTTAAGAAAACTAGAAATTATTTTTCAAATTACTATCCTACACACAGAAGCAATGTCCACCAAAGCCAGGTCCCTATCAATAGCTTTTCTCCTCACTGAGTATTTCTAAATACGTAAGATGCAGACTATAAATGTAGAAAGAGCAATAGCACCTCTGAGACCGAACGGACAAAGCACAAGCTACTGCTTCAACAAATCAAGAGACAGAACATTCCACATAATGGAATCTGAATCATTGAATGCTCTTAAGACTGGGAATGCAGGGCTGCCCTTTGTTTATTCTGTCTCCAGCCATACCTTTAATGCCCCGATCTCAGAGCTAAACAAGGTTGGCCTAATTAGCACCTAGATGAGAGAATAAAAGGTACTCTAAACAGGAACACCTGCCTTACTAGACACGTCCTCTATCAGCTTCTTCCTAGCAAGCTGCTTTGGGAACACTTGACATTCTAAAGGCACTGAGACTGTATCAAAATTAATTCAGGGGCTGGAGTGATGGCTCAGAAGTTAAGAGCACATTCTGCTCGTCCAAAGGACCTGAGTTCAATTCCCAGCATTCACATCTGGCAGCTCACAACTTTCTGTAATTCCAGCTCCAGGGGATTGGTCTCCAAAAGGCACCTGTACTCATGTGTACACAATACACACGTGCACGTGCGTGTGCACATGCACGCGCGCGCACACACACACACACACACAAAGATAAATCTTAAAATAAAACTGACTTCAAATTTTACACTGAAAAGTCAAATCTAAACAATATATAAGTTAAAAACACATCATCACTAAACACACTTGTGATTCTTTTATTAGAATTAAGATTATAAATGTGAGCCAGAGAAAACTTTTCCACGAATATTTCAAAGAAATGGAAATACTAGGTAACTGAAAAAAGAAAACAACGAAAGTCTATAAAACCTTAATTTTCAAATACCTAGGAAACTTAGAAGTACTTACTCAAAAACTCAACAACATGCCCTATACAATTTCACTCTGTTCTTTTTAAAATATTGACTTAGATTTTCATAAGGAAATATTTTACTAGAATACTAAAGAACAGACACATTTAAGGATGTAGAAAGAAATACAAAAAAATATTAGGAAACAGCAGGTTACATTAAATGAAATAACAATTGGACAGTATGAGAATTTTTAAGTAAACTTTTCGAAGGAAAAATGATGATTAAAATTAGCCAAAACATTCTGTTTGTTTCAAGGGCACACTAAAATTGAAGGTGAGGGAAATGTGTTTTTATGACTATACATTCAACTGTTAAAGTAGATGCATGCAACTGCTTTTCTTCCCAGTAGTGTGTACCTACCAGGTGAGGGGAATATATCACAGGATCTAAAAGGGGGTGGGGAGGATGACTGATTTAGTCAAAATTGTTGATCTTGGCTTTTCTGTGTTGGAGGGAAAACCATAAGGACTTAAGACAAATGCTGTGCATGCAGATGTAGGTACTTGTGCTTTCTACCCAAGTGTTCTGCTCTCATTACTTCTTGGTGAGAGGGGCCCTGAGCATTATCTTCGGAGAGTGAACTTAAGCTGGTTCAACCCAGAAAACAGTTTCTCAAACACCAGTCTAAATGAAACAAGATAGTATTTTAATTTCTTCAAAAAGAGCAAAATGTCATGACTATTGAAAAGAAAGGAGCTTTCAGAATAGACACACTATTAAGCTAAGACTATAAATTTAGTATAAGAGTAAATCAGAAACCATTTCTACAGTTAAAAACCCTAAGTATGCCAAAAAGTTTAAAAAGTAATGCTTAGGTTGAAGTATGTGTAATTCAAAGAGAGCTTCTAGGTAGGGTCCATCCAATAAATGATCCCTTAGTTTTCTCTGCAGCAGTGGACAGGACTCATTTGTCAAAACTTAATCCCAGTGATTTCTTTCACTGATTCAATGTACTTATCAATATGGCTTCTGCCTTTCTGTACCTGGGGCAGGCAATGGAACTGTGCTTTACACTGTGGCAATGGCCTCCTGTGCCTGTGTTTTATTCTGTGTTCATGTAGAGCAGCAGTTACCCTTGCCTTATTTAACTACATAGAGAGAGTGAAAAGGTCCCCAGGAAGCCTCTGAAAACAGCAAAGCTGTAGATGAAAGGACCCAGACAGCCCTACCAAGTGGTTTCAGCATGCCCCTGGCTCGGCTTCTTCATCTTTAAAGTAATTTTTGTTTTTCTGGGGATTTTTGGCCTTCCTGAGATAGGGTCTCCCTATAACCCTGGCTGGCCTGGAACTCACAGTGCAGACTGGGATGACTTTGATCTCACTGAGATCCAAGGGTTTCTGTAGCCACAGTGCTAGGATTAAAACTGCACACCACACCTAGCCTGGGAGACAGCAACTTTTAATTCCAGATTTCTACGTTTGGATGATTCATGTTTTGGTAAATGATGTGAAAATACATACTTGAAATATTATAAAGGTTCACATGCTACTTAAATAGAAAAAAAAACACGAGCATTTGCACGAACACAGCTGACACAGAAGCGGAGACAGAAGCCACGGCAGGCGTGTGTGACATAAACTCCGTAGCTGGGTGTGTGGTGACACTTTTCAGCTTATTTAACACTGTCTGCAGTTTACAGTATGAGAACATAGTCTTAAAGGAATGGTAAGAAAATAATGGTATTTTCACATACCAGTATAAATAATTAGCCAGTGTGGAGTTCTTGCAGGCTCTTGATATCAAGAAGGTACATAGATCTTGCTGAAAAGATTAAAAGAAATGCATTATTTATCACCACCTGCTATTAACAGAGGGGAAAGGAGAGAACCCAGGTGGCCTGTCAGTTTTCATCTAAATATCTTGAGATACAGCTCACATTGCCCCCACCCCCATGAACGCATTCCACACTACACAACAGACAACACATATGATTCCTGACCACAAGATTTGGTAGTGGAGAAAGGCAACAGGACACGATGATATAATGATCTGAACAGATCTGGAAGGGTAACAATAAGAACTAAGAGAACACGATCTAAAAGGTTCTAAGGAGGCAAAACACAATGAACATAAAAGTGAAGGAGACTGGAGAGAGGAACGAAGGGCAAGTTATGCAGTAACCGTAGGTCATGATATTGAGGATGAATTTTAATTTGAAAAGCAGTAAATACGTAAGGATCTTAACAAGAGTGTGTGATGACTTGACATTTCGTCACTACAGGAGTCTGAAAAGTATGGACCTGACATCAGTTGGTACGTCTTTACAACAGTCTAAAACGTGGAAATGGTAAGTGATGGAAGTAGAAAAGAATGTTTGGAAGCCAGGTGTGGTGGCACACACCTTTAATCCCAGAGCTCGGGAGGCAGAGGTAGGCAGATCTCTGAGTTCAAGGCCAGCCTGGTCTACACAGTGAGTTCCGGCCAGCTGCTGGGGCTACAGGGAAACCCTGTCTCAAAAAAAAAAAAAAAAAAAAAAAAAGAAATATTCCAAAATCATACTTAATAGGGATTTCAGATGAGGAGGAAACAAGATAGAACTGACAGTAATTTTCACATTTCTGGATTCAGCAAATAGGCTACTTTGTTCTATCATAGATGGAAACTTCTGATGAGGAGCTGGCTGACAGATGAGCTGGGTAACAAACTGGCTAGCTTAACATGAGCTGGCTAACAGATGAGAAGACAGAGCTGCATTTTGAAGCATTAGCTTTGAAATGCCTGTCAGATATACCATGGAGATCAAATAAGGATTTGGATACACAAATCTAAAACTCCAAGGAGAGATCTGAGCTAGCTACTTAAGTGTATGCTTACTGGTACAGCTCAGTGCAAAGTTCTGAGTCTTGAACATTACATCAGGCAGAGCAGCAGACGGTGATGAAGGGCACTGTGAAGGAACAAGACACACAGCTGAGAAGGGAAAGAGATGCAGGCTAGGGCCCAGGTCACAGGAAGACACGGCTTCTCAAGAGGGAGCTCTCACAGTTTGAGCAACCCTGTCAAAAGTCTTTAGGAAACTGGCAAATTAAGTTTTAAGCAAAAGCCAAAATGAGGAGTTAAAAGACAGGAAAGCAAGGGAGGAAAGTCAGGGTTTATAAATAACTGAGAAGCCTGATCATGACCAAGGACAGAACTAGGTGCCGTGCTGAAAGGATGGGCCAGAGAATGTCTTTTCTGAGTTGAGGTACTAATGCCTATCTGGATGGCTCTCTAAGGAAAAGCAAAAAGCTTATCTTTAGTGAGTACTGTTTCTTCTGTGTAAGAGAGAAGGAAAGAATAGGGAGGAATTTGTGTCTAGAAATCTGGTGGTGGAAACAGGTCAGTCCTCTACAGTGCTTTCTATTGCCTCCATCAATCATGGGGCAGAACTGTTGCCTAGATTGGGTGGTAAGAGTGAAGAACAAAGTAAGAAAGGTCACTGAGGAGCTGAGCTCTCAGCCCATCAGGGCAGTTTGGACAGGGGGCACCCCAAGCCGTAACTAAGGATTAGGGGATGTGAATTTATAGTGACACTAATACACTATGTGTTTTTCCTTAGCAATATTCAGGTATAGAGAAATTATGTAGCTAATTAACTCATCAAGAGCTGAGATCTTGCCAGGATAAATGAAGATACTCATAAATGAATGACCATAATGAGGAGGAGGATGTAGAAACCATGCTCAAAGGAAAGCAAATACTGGAGGAGCTGACAGAGAAACAGAAACCAGGGGTCAGAGTGTCCATCAATACAGCCGAGGGCCCTAGAAACGCGTGTACGTAGGAGAATGAGCGGTCCACAAGGCAGGTGTGGCGAGGTTCTCAGTGGTGCTACGAATTGTGTCTGTAGTTTTAGGGACTTTCTTTGTTTTCACATTGCTGGGGATAGAAGCCAGGGCTTAGGAAAAGCTAAGTCTATTACCACTGAGCTATATCCCCAGCCCCTAGAGAATGCAACATGAATCCAATGAAGGAACATCTCAAGTAGAAAGCCATACTGTAAAGTGGACAAGTCAAAAGGCAAAATTTAGGTTTAAGGATTACCTTCCCACTATGAGATAAGTACCTCGTTTCAAAACGATGTAAGTATTTAACATGCTTCATGTGAGCCTAAGATAAAAAATCATGTGTATATATATATACATTATAATAGAATTTGATAAGATTACATGGAATTCACAAAAACTCAATAAAATATTTAAAAAATAAATAAAAACAAAGGTAAAAAATCATATAAAGTGCAGGTACAAGAGGTGACAAGAGCTGTTCAGAGGCAGAATGCAGAAATCAGTCACCAATACAGATGACAGGCAGTGATGAAAGTATGTGTGTGCACTGTTTGGGAAGAGGGATTTGGAGGAGAATGACAGTACGAAAACTTAAAGTTAGGAACAAGTTAAAATATCTAAGTTAACCAGGAAAAGATATATAAACACAGCATGATCTATAAACCAGGGGTAGAGCAGAGGGGAGGAAGAAGGATTTAGCCAAAGCTGACAGGAAAATTATATATATATGATATATATAACTTCATATTTATATAGATTCTATGTACATGAAAGACAAGGAAATACTATATAAAAAGATAAAATAACCCAAATACAGCAACATTCACCATAAAAACAAGTGGAGTAAAAGTTCCAGCTAAGCCAGAATGTGAGCAGGATTTAAGATAGAGACTTAGCAGCTCTCTGGTATTTTCAAGAGCCAAGCCTGAAATGCAAGGCTATAAAACATGATTTACTTAATAAAGGAGCTTCATAATATGTCAAGGATTATACTGTACAGGAATGGAGAGAAAAGACCGCTTGCCTTGTTCCTGATTTCAATGGGAATGCTTAAGAGGTTTTCTGTTTAGTATGATGTTGGCTGTGGGTTTGATGCACATTGCCTTTATTACACTGAGATACATCCTCTGTGCCCCTAAATTTTCCATGGCTTTTATGATGAAGGGAAGTTGGATTTTGTCAAAGGTCTTTCCTGTATCTAATGAGATGATCACAGGGTTTCTGTGCTTGAGCCTGTTTATATGGTGGATTACATTTTACTGCTTTACATATGTTGAGCCAAACCTCTGACTTGACCATACCTCTGACTTGACCATGGTAGATGAGGTATTCTTGCATTTAGTTTGCAAGTATTTTATTGAGAATTTGTGTTTATGTTCATGACAGAGACTGGCCCATAATTTTCTATTTTTTGTTAGGTCTTTGCCTGGTTTTGGTATCAGAATAATACCGGCTTCACAGAATAAATTTGGAAGTGTTCATTCCTTTTGGAAGTGTTCATTCTGACATTCTCAAAATACATTGTATGACATTCTCAAATTAAGTATTAAAAATAGACTATTACCAAATAGAGAAAACTCATGATTACCACATCCTACAGGGGACTTTCACACTGATAGTTTTAATTGTCAACTCAACATGAGCTAGAACTGTGGGAAGAGACTCAATGAAGAATTTTCTTTCTTTTTTCCTTTATTTTTATTTTAGAGTGTACTGGCCTGCATGTGTGTAAGTCTACACATGTTGTGCAGAACCTTCATAGGACAGAAGAGGGTGCCAGATGTTCTCAACTGGAGTTATGGACAGTTGTTAGCCGCCATGTGGGTGCTGGGATTTGAACCCAGGTCTTCGCAAGAACAACTAGTGCTCTTAACTACTGAGCCATCTCTCTAGTCCCAGAGGGATTTTCTTTTCTTTTTTTAACATTAATTTATTGTTGTGTGTGTGTGTGTGTGTGTGTGTGTGCACGTGCGTGCGTGTGTGTGTTGTGGGAGGGGTAGCTATGCCATGGTCTAAATGTGGAGGTCACAGGACAACTGTTGGGAGTCTGTTTCCTCCTTCCACCAAGTGGATTCCAAGGCTAGAACTCAGTCTTCAGGTTTACCTGCTGAGCTATCTCAATGACCCATCGAGGAGGGATTTTCTAGATCAGGTTGGCCTGTGGGCAAGTCTGAAGGGGATTATCTTTATTACACTGATTGAGATGGGAAAACCCACCCCACCCTGGGTAGTGCCCTTCCCTAGGCAGGGGTCCCGAACTGTACAGAGTGGAGAGAGCAAGCAGCTTGCACAAGCACGCAGATTAGCTCGCTGCGCTCTGCTGCTGTGACACTTCTGACCCCTGGTCACTGTCTTTCCCCGTCAGTCTCCAGTATTTGCTTTTCCTCTGAAGGTAGTTTTCAGCATCTTCTTCATCATTAAGGTCATTCATTTATGAATATCTTCATTTCTCTTTAGAGTCATACATTGATGCAATGTAATCAGCAATTCTGACAATTGCAAGAATGCTAAGTATATTAAAATGATATTCTGAGTGTCCCTAATAAAGTATTCAAGCTTAGTTTATTTTCATGTTACATATAAACCCACTTATACGCCCAGAGCACCAATAAACTGAGCTGAGCATTATTTGGCACATTAAATGATGGGAAAAGAATAAATATGCATCATAAAGCAAGTTAACGAAAATATTATGGTTAGTTTATTAATCAAATCGAGGTTTTAAAGAACAACATAAATGTTGATTTGGCAGGGTTTCTTTCATCGTAATCTTGGAAAGCTTTTTACTCACCTCTAGATTTTCTCCATCTGAAACTTCTTTTGTCTTCGGCGCAGGAGGAGGAGAAGACACTGGAGGAAGAGGGCTGGTTATAATTTGGGAGCTGAAAAATAAGAAAAATTACAGATTAAATACCCTGCCTCGTTATTTAATCTTCAAACTACCCTTAAGGACTGGTTGCTACTGCTATTCTGATTTTTGAGATGAGAAAGTAGAGCTACATACAAGAACATGTGATGTACTAAGTCTGCATACCCAGGGAGATGACTTTAGATTGAACTTTGATATTCTGACTCAGCAGAGTGCAAAACAGTGCTCGCTAATAATCTGTGCATGTTCATGAGTTTACACAGTGAGTATTTATACTAAATTCAGAATCAAAACTAGAAGAGCAAAGGTCTAGTTGGTGTCTGGGGAGAAAGGAAAGAAGACAACCTGAGAACAAGGAGGTAACACAAGCATCACATCCCAATACCGTCCCCGAGATATGTATACCTATCTACTTCTGCAGAACTGATTCCAGAATTTGACAGGCTCTCTGACCCTGAACCTTGACTCTCCTTCTTGGTCGGTTCCAATCCATTCTTTATGTCATCAAAATTTTCATATTTCAGGGCCTGGACCAGCTGGAGCAAGTACATCAACAAATCCTAGAAAAAGAAATGAAAAAGCAGCTCAAAAGCAAGTGATAGAGAAACATTTAATTCTGTAAGTCACGCCAGCACTATGACTTTTACCTACATCTTTTCAGTATGTTGCCTTGGGAATGTTACTAAGTGACCTAAGTGCCAGGTGCTTCCTATTGTCCTTATGTAAATGAGCAGGACAGTACAGAAGGCAGAAACAGCAGGATTATTTTAAAAAGCTAATAGGAGAAAGTGACTGTTAAGAACCCAGCACAGAGTGACAGCCAATGGAGAATTATTTAAAGCATGGGTACTGGGGTTGTAGATAGGGCTCAGCAGTTAAGAGCACTTGCTGCTCTTGCAGAGGACCCGGGTTTGGTTCCCAGCACCCACAGAGTGGCTAGCAACTGTCTATAACTCCAGTCCAGAGGATATGATGCTATCTTCTGGCCTCCATGGGCAGTGCATGCATGGGTACACTTAGATACATGCAGGCAAAACACTTAAATTAACAATATAAAATTAATTTAAATAATTAAAGTAGGGGTCTGTAGGTCAAGCATAGTGGTACAAACCTTTAATCCCTAAACTTGGGAAGCAAAGCCAGGTGGCTCTCTGAGCTCAAGGTCAGCCTGGTCTACATAGCAAGTTCCAGGCTAGCCAGGACTACACAGTGAGATTGTCTCAAAAACAAAACAAAACAAAAAAAGGGGCTGGAGAGATGGCTCAGCAGTTAAGAGCAATGGTTGTACTTACAGAGGACCCAGGTTCAGTTCCCAGCACCCACATGGTGGATGACAAGCGTCTCTAACTCCAATTCTAGGGGAACGCCTTCTTCTGACCTCCAAGGACATTGCACGACACAGGTGCACTTACATACAAGCAGGCAATGCACTCATACACATAAAATAAAAATAATAAAATATTAAAACAAGACAGAAACAAAAGTAGGGCATCTGAACAGCAAAAATAAGTGAAGTGGGAAACAAGGTAGGGCTGGGATGGCTCAGACAAGGAACTGAAGAAGGGCCTGCATAAGCAGACCAGACACACATTCCATGCCGGAAACGACTAGACAATAAACTTCAAGTTTTCAAAACATTCCTGTTTCAGGATGTTTTCTGGTCAGAAATTTAAAAAACATGTTCTTGCCGGGGGTGGGGGGTGGGGTGGTGGCGCACGCCTTTAGTCCCAGCACTTGGGAGGCAGAGGCAGGAGGAGCTCTGTGAGGTTAAGGCCAGCCTGGTCTACGAAGTGAGTTCCAGGCCAGCTGGGGCTACGGGGAAACCCTGTCTCAAAAACACACAAACAAACAAAAAACAAAAACAAAAAATTTTTCTTCTTTTTTTACTTGAAAGCCAGAGTTTAGAGAACCTAGAGCCCTTCTTGATTTTTTTTTGATATTTGTGTTTATTCTTTCAAAATTCTGTACATTAAATAATGCATTTTGACCATATTCACTCCACACGGCTCCCTCAAACGCCTCCTGGACCCCTCCATGAGTCCTCCCAACTTCATGTCCTTTTCTTTCTCCCTCTTCTGAGCCTTCTCTCAATGTGGGAAGGCTCTTAAGTTTAATGTCTGTAGTGGGAGCACTGTCCCGTAAAGCGCTAAATGTCATTATGCAGTTACATGTTCTCTACTACTATTATTAAGGAAATGCTAATAAACTCAATTTTAAAAAATAAAAGGTGAAAGAGATGTACTCTTGCTCTGGAGTGTGTCACTGAATATGTTAAAGCTGTAATGAAATGCTTCTTCTAATCATGTGGTTATTAAAAATTTTTTAAAAGTTGAAGAAACTCACTAAATAAAAGAAACTTAAAAAGTATACCCATGATCTTCTAAGCCCATAAAATTCATGATTTGATAATTTTGAGACTTTTAGACTGCCAGTTCAACTTGAAATCTCACCAATAAGTCTACAAACCAGGACAAACCTCCCAGAAAGATCCCACAGCCTCCCTTTGCTTTCCTATTTATACACCTACCACACAATTATTTCCTTCTTTGTTTTTTTTTTGTCTTTTGCCCTATTTTATAAGCCCCAAGGACAGTGGTACTTGCTAGCAACATGTTTTCTCTTCTTACCTAACACATTAGAGTTCTTTTTCTTTTCATAAATTTTATCAAAATAGCAACATGCTAAGCTTTTTTATTGTTTGGCAAATACAAAGATTGATACACAATATTTCATCATAATTATAAATTTAAAAAATGTTAACTGGCATCTGGGCATGGTGGCACACGCCTGTAATCTCAGTAATCAGGAGGCTGAGGCTGGAGGATTGCTGAGTTTGACTGCCAGCTGAGGCTGCAGTGTGAGACCCCATCTCAAACAACAGAAAGTTACCTGGTTTATCAAGTACTTGAATATGCCAATTTTGGTGACAGGGAGGTCAAGTCACTAAGACTAAGAGTGCAGTGGCTCAAGACCTGTTTGGTAGACAGGTGACCAGAGGCTCCATCCCCAGCACCACACACAAACACACACACATACACACACACACACACACACACACGCATGCGCGCACGTACACGTGCATACACTCACACACACAGGCTGCAGACTTCATCCCCAGTAACACACACTCTCTCTCTCTCTCTCTCTCTCTCTCTGTAGGCTCCATCCCCAGTACCACCCCCCATGCACATAGGCTTCAGTCTCCATCCCCAGTAACACACACACACACACAAACACACACACACACACGCACGCACGCACACACACATGCACACAGACTGCAGGTTCGCTCCATCCCCAGCACCACACACATAAGTGACTGTCTCTGAGCACATCTATTCTGTTGTTTCTAAAAGGCATTTTTGTAACTGGAACAATAAACATCTGGTTTTCTACTCAAATAGTTGAGATTTATGGCATAAATCACAGTAATTGCATACTGTTCAGAGGAAAACACTCCATTCCCTAACCTGGACTATTAGCGTGACACGCCCTTCTCTAGGGATTACTTCACTTCACTGCCAGCCTCTCTGCTAAATGTGACACTTGTGGGTTTTCCCAACTATGGACAAGACTTAGCAAAAATCAAAAGGATTCCCCAAGAAGGGGAAATTCAGAAAAGTTTCCTCTTTGAGTCAGTCCTCCTCATCTGATTGGTGGGTCATCTGGTATTCCTCATTGAAACTACACTTTGTTTCATTTGTATGAAAATCAAATAACATCAATTAAGTAAAGAACCTGCTTTCTCACATACAGTCACATCCTGGAAAATATAAAAATTTTCCAGCAGAAAGGGCACAAACTTTGAAGTAAAACAAAGCAAAAGAAAGAAAAAAAAAAAAAAAAAGGTTTCTGGCTAAGGCAATTACAGAAATTTCCCAGAGCCATGGTCTTTATGTGACAGTCACCTTTCTGAATAACAAGCCCATCCAAAGCTTCAGAGCTGATCCCTAGGCTCCAGGGGAACAGAAGCTCCTTGCTTGGAACCGCATCCTGAGGATTCTAGTAAAGTGCAACAGAGTAGTGCTTGATTCAGGGTTTTTGGTCACTCTAGAAAACTGTTCCTCACAAGGAAGAGGACATGAAAAGCCTGAGTCATAGTCACTTGGTCAGAAGTCAGAAGGTGACTCCAGTTCCCATTGGAGAGTGGGGAAGTGGGAGAAGACTGTGGCAGATGACCTCTGGGGACAGCTGTGGTACAGTGAGCACTCACTAGAGCAGTTCACTATGTAGACTTTGTCTTAATCAAATACATACATATGAACATCAGTATTATTCAATAAATGCTTCACTTGCTTCCCCAAAATCAAATGCCACTTCTTATTCACAATGTTTTCTTTTAGAGCATCATTGATATTAGCTGTTCCGCAGGATCAGTACCCGTCTACAGTAAGGTTTGTGAGGAGTTATTTTATACCTGGCAAGTCCTGCTGGACTAGCATAAACTATCAGGTCATGTTTGACAACACATTCACCCTATAAAATGTAAGAGCTAAGGGAAACTGATGCATCACTCTACCTCACTGGCAATGACTAAAACTCAAACTCCACAATGCTCTGTGTCACTCAGTATTCCTCCATCCCTGGTGGCCTCATATGCATATGGATATTCATCAGAAAGTTTGCAGTTGGTCTGGCTACCCAGATAATTCAAATCCACCTTCAGAAAATTTCTACATGTACATAATTGCCAACAAGGTTTAAAGCAGGGCTTTGACGGAGAGTAAGATGCCCATGTACCTCTGTGTTCAAAGGTTTTGCGGTTCTGCGAAGATACAATTAAACACTGATGGGGGGATCCAAGTTTCTCCCCAGTTGGTGCTGCATTAAAGTATTTTTCACTAGAATTCTTTCCTCCACAGACCAACACAAGCTCTGCTGCCAGGAAGAAAGCCTGGGAGAGCGCATCCAGTCACATGACAACCGGGGAGAGTTTTCATCTCACAGGGGTCCTTGGAGAAATATTTTAATTTTACTTCTGAAAACATGACTAACATATCTGCTTTCCTGAAAAATATCTCTCTCTCTCTCTCTCTCTCTCTCTCTCTCACACACACACACACACACACACACACAAACCCACATGTAAGGGTCTATACTTTGTGCCTAGCTTTAAACTAGATTCACTTTAAATGTACTTGGTCAGACAGTCAAGAAGGACTAATGGACATAATATACCTCGTCATCGGCCTGCCGTAAGCGGGCCACAGCATAGCGCCTCACTGTTGGGTTGGTGTAATGAGAGGACAGCAGCTCCAAAGAATCCTCCACATCCATTGGCTTCCACTTTCCCAGAAGCTCTAAGGCCTGTTTGGCCTCCTGGGGTAGATCCCAATTGACACACTTCAAGAACTTTGTCAGAGCCTAGAATCAGAAAAGGTTTTCCAACTATAAATCACATACCACTGCCAGATGAAAGGCAATGACCAGGCAGAGGTCTGCTTGGTCTTGAACGGAGAATTTGAGTGACACCACTTGAAGTTAAGACACTGTCGTACAAAAGCAGTGCAGGGCAGAAAACACGAAAAAAACGTGTTCTCTGTGACTTTACATGTCATTTTCCAAGCTAAAAAATACTGTAGAGCAGAATGAATTTAAAAAAAATTTTTTTTGCTGTTTTTAAAACATCACAGGCCTCAAGACATGGAAAGAGTTGAGGCATATCTCATGAACTCTAACATGCCTTGGAAATGAAATTAGCTTTACAGACAGTATCTACAGTGTGTCACAACACACTGCACATAAGCCTCACTCAGTCCTCTGGCTAGGGTCTGTTCCCCAGTGTTGCTAGACACTCTCACGTGACAAAACAGGAGAAGGCCGTGCAGAGAAGAAATTGTTTAAAAAGAAAAGACAATCAAAACAACAACCAAATCCCTTAAGACCCCAGCACTAAGATGCTAGGCACAGCAGAAGCAACAAGCAGCTGCCATCTGCTGAGAGCCACATCTTTCTGGAAGCTTTACTTCTTCGGCTACGCCATGCCCTGAAATTTTCACAAGGCTGTTAGTAAAGAGGACTGCCTGGCAGACATCACTCCCAGCACACGCTCATTTCTGAAAGGCACACACCTATTCTGTCTACAGACAAAATGTGGTCTCCTAGTAACACTTTCCAGTCAGAACACAAAGCCTTTCTTTCTCTTCTATCATAAATTTAGTATCCATGGATTATCTCTTAAAGAAGGGAAACTCTAAAATCCTGCTCTGTACAATAAAAGTACTTTTATTAGCAAAGTGGTTGGGTTGTCATATAAATGCCTATTTGAATAACACAAAAATTTCTGGTTTACATTACACAAAAATGAAGATTTGTGTCCATCCCCTACTTATTCTTAACTGTACTAAATTAAGAAGGAGTCTGACTATGATTAAGATGTACTGTATGAAATGCACAAAAATTTAATACAACAGCAGAAGATTCTGCACTTGGGAATGAAATACAGGACGACCCCTGGGGCTCAAGGGCCAGCCAGTCTAGCCAAATGCGTGGCTTCCAAGCTCAGTGAGAGGCCCCCATTCAAAAAATAAGGTGGACAGCTACTAGGAAGACACCTGACTTTGACCACTGGCCTTCCCATGTGCACATGCACACACTACACACCAGCATGGAGATCACCTGTTAACACCTTAACAGTTATCACCTGTGCAGTGAGTTAACTCAAGAGTCCAAAATAAGAGCCTGCTGACCACGCAGGCACTGGCCTCCTCGATCCCCCAGGTCATCATCACTCTCTCCAGCACTGTTCTCCTAAGCGCATTCCCAATAACTATCTTCCTGAGTGTCCCCTCATCCCAATTCTCATTATAGCACACAACTGAAGTCTGAAACAGTCTTGATAACCCTTTTCCCTTTCAATCATTTCAAACAGACTCTTACAAGTTCAAAAGCGGTGAGTGATCTTAGCACAAATTATTGACAGTAATTTACTCTATGGCACCTCTTCTAAAAAGAGATACAATATTTATGGTATTTATGCTATTCTAACATTAACTTCCCACTCATTACACTTAGAGACAGCTAAGCCATTTCTATTCTCTTTAAAAAAATATATATGTAATGAATAAAATACAACAACTATCTTGATGTAGCTTCTTACTGTTGGTCTGTTTCCCTCTGTGGAGAGAATGAGAATAAACTTAACCTCATACTAATGGACAGCAGCTCTTCTGACACCTGGTTTCAGTTACGATGACAAGCCCTCCTAGGTCTACAATAGCTCACACCTGGCTTCCGTCCCAAAGCAACCCACTTCCCCTCTCACAGTTCACACCCTGTCTCTCTCGGTGCCTCCATGTTGCAGCCACACTACTATCTTAGCAGTGCTTCTGATTCCTGCCTGCAAGCCTTCTGTTCATGCTGTACCAGGGACTGGCACCTCTCCCTCAAGTTGAGCTTGTCAGAACTCAGATCCTCTGGGAAGTCTGCAGCTCATGTTTGCTGCTGTCAGTTCAATGTTTTTCTAGTTGCTTTCTCTCCCTCACCGAATGTCAGTTCTTACCTCAGCTCTCTCCTGCCCATCAGTTGTCTGCCCCCTATTAAATCAACTTCCAAATTTCGATTTACAATTGAGCCTACATCTCCAAATTTCCAAACTCCTCCTCCTCCTCCTCCCCGCCCCCCACCCTCTTTTTCATGAGAAAACTCACAATGTAGATCAGGCTGGCCTGGATCTCAGAGATCTGCCTGCCTCAGCATCCTCAGCGCTGAGGCTAGAATTCTTAAGTTCTTTTAATAGTTTAAGTATTTTCTAGTCACTCAGGTATAAAGATGTAAAAACAGAAAAGAACCTGCTACGAAACCGGTGCTATGTCATTTCACCTCCGAAGGACAGCAGTCGCCCTTAGAATGTAAAAGATTCATTGCGCTACCTGCCTAATGTACAACCCAAGGCCAGAAACAACCCAATCTAACTTCAGGACTCATTCAGACAGACATGAGTCTCACTGCTACTTTGATTTCCACTGGTGTACCATGTATGTTGCTGTGTAGCATTTTTTTTACACATGATAATAGCTGTATTTCTGTGATTTGACTTTACCTAGATCATGAGTAAGAACGTCTGTAGATAAATCTGAGACATGAACTATTCAAGAAACTTACCTTTTCTTGATTAGTAAGATAATATCTAAACTTCCAAACCAGATCTTGTTCTTCATATGTAAGCTGCTTGGTTGGCGGATAACTCACAATAATCTACATCAAAGAGAAAGAGCTACATTTGTCAAACATACATTTAATATATATCTCCATTTGTTAATATTTTTATAATACAATTATTCATCAACCCAGGAGATGGTACACAGAGCCAACTAAGGCACAAATAAACTGAACACTCCATTCCAAAAAGCGTAACATTAGAATGCAGTAGGAGAAAAGTGAGCCACGCTCCATTACATGTATAATTTCAAAGCTTTGAAATTCAATTAAAAGCTAAGAAACCAAAGTTGCAATGCCCTTCACAAAAAAATACAAGTAAAACAAATCTTCCTCTGGTCAAATCATCACATAGCATTGCATAAGTTTCTCTCAAGAATGGCTCAGGGCACTGTGAAAGTATTTACTATTTTTAGCTGTCTCCACAGCGAACACATTTACTAAAAGCCTCCTAATGTTTTAAAGAAAAATCTGCAGATGTATGAAATTATAAAACACATAATTTATATAAAATTACATAATTCACCAAATCTTGGGGTACTGCATACTTAATGATAGCAGCTGCAATCCAATGTCCGTTAGTTGTTCCCATACATGCATCTGTAAATTCTCTTACATTTAGCTGATCTCTTGTAGCGGCATTGGGTTTGAGATCATGGTCAGAAGGTCCACTTCTTAAACTCCGTGCAAGCTTATGGTGCTTACTTTCAACTAAGTTCTCCTACAAATTATTTAGATACACAGAGAATGTAAACTTTACCAAAATAAAGCTTCAGTCATCAGAAATACCAAAGTCAATTCTTAAAGCCATTTTACATTTATTGCCTGATTCTGGTACCTTAATACCTTGCATATCTTAAAAATAAGGAGCAATTTCTGGTCTGAAACTAAGCTTGAGTGAGGCTCTAGTGCTGAACTAAGCACATGCCAGCCCAGCTCCCTAGATCTCGTCACAACTTACAACTTTACAGCCTCCACCAGGTAGTACCTTCACACTAACATCCACAGCACAGACCCATGACATCACTGTACCATGCCTGATGCCTCCATGCAAGGGCATGGCCGACGTTTCAGTGCACACATGTGCTGTTGACTGCTTTGCACATGGCAAATCATCAACCATATCATCTATCTGTAGGTCTACAGATATTAAAAAATAAGTATATCTGATTTTATTAAAAACAGTTCACTAAGTTTCGATTCTCAGTCCTGTTTCCTTCCCTCTGAACAGCTCTTTGCATCAGCCCTTTTATTTAGTAGCCCTGGTAGCTACAGCAATAATGTCACAACAAAGTCCATCTCCCCAAAATGTGGATCTATTGACCCTACTGATACAAGCTCATCTTCCATCTAATGACATTCCATGACCTCCTTTGATTACCGCCGTTAAGTGACTCAATTCCCTAGCTCTTTCAACAGCTCAAAGAATGTGGTTGCTGAATCCTGATTTAGTCTGGCCTTACCTTTGGGATGTCAGTGCTGCTTATAAACATCCCACTTGAACCCAATTCCATTTATATATATATATATATAACTTATCTTAATGAAAAATATATTATTTGGGTCTAAGTTTTGATCATTCTAGAAGAAAACACTTAGAAAAATGTGTATAGCAGCTTACCATAGACATCTGAGGATCAGGAACTTTCACTAACTCAAAACTTGTTAAAATTGGGGAAGATTCATCACCATCCTAGATTATAGCACAGTGTTTAAAGAACAAAAAGAAAGAAACTTTAATTAAAGAATAAGACATGATGCTATTAAATGCTGATGTATTTTAATTCTATTTTAAAAACATCATTTTCCATTTGTGCATTTTTATCTTCTTTCAATTATATATTTATTTTCTATCCCCATTACTGATAAAATGTTTTGAGGAAAATAAAATCCAACATAAATTTTTATTACAGTTTTGGAAATATGAACTCTGGAAATGAACGGTTTGTTTTTATTGTTTGTACAGGCTATTTTTCTTTTTTAAAAACTTAGTTTATTATGTCAATAGATTAAAAAAAAAGCCCCAACCTTCCAACTTAGAACAAAAAGCCAACAAGCTTCCTTAAATCATGGCACAGAGACTGGGCCACATCATCTGCAGTCACTGTGCAAATGGCCCTGGCTTTCCAGGTGTCACCAGAAGCCTCATTCAAAGACTCAGCGATGGGTGGATGTTCCTCTAGTTCAGGCACAGTCAGATACATGCAGCAGAATCAGGAGGGACAGAGCCAGAGGGCTGTGACCTCCTTCAGTAATGGAGTCATACAGAAGCTACAAGTTCCCGCAGCTGCTAACAGGCTTGTTCTCAGTCACAACACCAGAAAACACATTTATCAGCTCAACTCTGACACGTAACCTTCACCAAGGCTATCTGTCACAGAAGACAAGTGACATGGAAGTCCGCTTCCTCGAGATGTGATGCACTGGCTCAGCAACCCTTACGTTAAGTGGAAATATGACAGGGTGGGCAGAGGTATTAATTCTTATCTAAAGACAAGAAAGGGGTAAGGAACCTTTTCACAAATACTTGAAATTTTTCTGTTATTTCATCTATTATCAAAGCTGTCTTTCAAAAGATCCTTCACACAGTTTCAAATACTGCCCTAACAGAAGGTTCTGACACAGAAGTTTGTCATGAGCAGCAGTGTTGTTTTAACAGACCACACAGAGCACAAGACACAAAATGGTTCTATTCATATATACTGGTGAGGATTTCACTCACCAACAATTTCCTTTCTTTTGACTTAGTTTTTCTAATAAATAAATATACAGTGTTAAATGATCTATGTGGGGACCTAAAGGCCCCACCTTGGATGGGTCCGAAAGGAAGTTACTGGGGGCGAGGCCTGGCTTGCTTTGAAAGTCTGAAGAATACTTCCGCACTGTTGAGGAGTGCATGATCAGCACGTGACCATCCTTAAGATACACCCTTGGGGGGGGGGGGAGTTCCAGGTGCCTTTATAAGCTCTGTAACACCTGTAATAAATGAGTCCCTGCTTGACTAGACTCCCTATTGCATCTGAGTGTCCCCGGTACTGGGGCGGCGTGGGCTGGCGAACAGCATGCTTACTCATCCCCAATCACCACTGTGCCAGGGGTCGCTGGTTCGAACACCCCCCCAGCAGATCTACACTTCCATCTTTCCAGGGAAGCTCATGTACAAAAGGGTGGAGTTAAATTTTTCTCTTTCATTAAAGTAAAAAGGACAAACTATGGAAGAAAAAGTAAAGAACATTAACTTGAAGAGTGTTACCAAGTGCCAGGCACGGTGGCACACATCTTTAATCCCAGCACAACTTTAATTCTTGGGAGGCAGAGGCAGGTGGATCTCTTTGAGTTTGAGGCCAGCCTGGTCTACATAGCAAGTTCCAGGCCAGTTGAGGCTATAGGGAGACCCTGTCTCAAAAAGACAAAGTAGCTGAGTGTGCTGGATAGCTTTAGTGTCAACTTGACACACCTGGGTTGAGGGAGCCTCAACTGGGGAATTTCCTCCATTGGACTGGCCTGTGGCCATGTCTAGGGGCATCTTCTTGATGAGTGATGTGAGAGGGTCCAGCCCACTGTGGCTGGTGCCACCCCTGGGCAGGTGGGCCTGTGTTGCATAAAAAAAGCAGGCTGGACTCCTATCCTCAGGCCTCTTGGGGTAAATCTAGAGCGCAACCCTCCACGCCTTGACTCCCCAAGCCACATTCACCCTTCCATCTCCCCCACTGTTCGTTACTCCTAGTTTGGGACCTGCGCCATCCCTAGACTTGGGGCCCCAGACACCTGGGGAACCAATAATGCTTCCGGACCCTTCTCACCCAGACCAACTTAGTGCCTTTCTAGGGC